CGTTACTAAAGGTTTTAGAATTCATAAACTCAAAATCGTACTAGTGGTTACTGATATTGTTGAATGGAAATGAGTTCTCTTTGTACAATTCTAAATATTTTATTTTTGAATTTTGTCGTTTTGAATGGTTGACTATAAGTAGAGGGACATGATATTATAATCCGCTCAATCTGTTTAAGTTTGGGGTTAATTATTGATTCGTTTTATTTTGTAGATCAACTCATTTCATTTCTTCGAAATTTGGATTGATAGATAACCCAAATTGATCCTGAAAAATTTCGTCAAAATATAGATTTTTTTAATTTGAAATATATATTATATATAGTCATAGCTCAAAGAAATATTATAATAACACAATTAAACTTAGTAATAGTTGGCGACTGAGTTTGACTCGCTTTGTAACGAGTGATTTTCTGTATAGGTCAATAATCTGTTTATTTATTAACTCAATGTGTTGTAAAAGTCTTTCAAGTTTAGTTTAACCCAGTCATTTAACACCGATAACGATAACTCAATTAAGAATTTTGTGATAGAATATATTTGTGTACATATATTTACTTTGTCTACATATTTAAATTAATTCTCATATGGAAAATTCAGCAGGATTATGTGTTCCAATACTGCTAAAGGTGCAGAGGAGTTTTCAAGGTAATTAATGTGTTAATTTTTGGTTAATCAATAGTTTATTTTGTAAATTAGGATTCTTAATTAATGTGGATATCTGATTTTTGATGCTTCATTTGTACAACTTATATAATTAAATGTGGTTAGTTTATGTTGATGAGGATTAATTAACTGTTATTAGAGATGTGTTTCAACTTTGCATCATAAGATGAAGTCAGAAAAATCTAGTGATAGTAGTAGATACTCCCTCCGTTTCGATTTGATTGTCCTGTTTTGGCTCGACACGGAGTTTAAGGAAGATACACTATCAAAATGTCTTTTAGAAAGTTGAAATGAAAGAGTTGCCAAAAAAAAAGGGAAAAAGAGACATTTCATTTTTGAAACGGACTGAAAAGGAAAATAAGACAAACAACTTGAAACAAAAGAAGTATCTGTGTTGCTCAGACTCATCAAAAATATTACAAGTACGTATCAAATCCTCCAAAAGCAATGCGTTTTTAGAGTATCCAATACGAGTGCAGCTATATGATCAGCATAAGCAGCCACAAGCAAGATAGTGAGAACTGAAATAGGACACTTACTAGCCTAGAAGAGTGTCAAGTCCTTCATATTGATCAACTCGATCGCCCTCCATCAGGGGCGTCACATATATATACACCTCATAGCGACTTCTGAATGTTCACTGATGCGTGCACCACCATCAAAGAGGTGTGAAAGTCCAACTTCAATACGATATCTGTCATAGTCCAAGCCTATTGCTGTATTGCTGGTTTTTTTCCTAACAGACCTTATAGATTTGTGCTTTGGACTACATTATCGAGCACAAAAGCACGTAGAATGTGAATTCGTTCTCTATCTTGTATTGCACTTTACTTGTTTCAAAGTTATGTTAGATTGTTGTCACAGAACTACTTACTTCCCCGTTAATCTTATGTACAGATTAGTTAACACGGGCTGCAAACTAGTAGGATGCGGTTCTGCAGTACCAAGCCTGAGAGTTACCAATAATGATCTTGCAAAATTTATTGATACTAATGATGAATGGATATCTACTCGGACAGGGATACGTAATCGTAGAGTTCTTTCAGGTGATTTTTTCATTGATCTTGATACATACTAACCTACTACATGTTGTTTCGTTCTGTTCTTTGACAGTAACATGACGTGTTATTACATTGCAAGTGTATGGAAAATAATACGTAAAGCAGTTGATCTGATATACGCTTTTACAGGCAAAGAGAATTTAACGGATTTGGCTATAGAGGCTGCACAGAAAGCTCTTGAGATGGCAGAAGTTGATCCTAAAGATGTTGATCTAATTTTGATGTGTTGTTCATCTGGAGATGACCGTTTTGGCAGTGCTCCGGTGGTATGACTTTGTAGTGTATAATTTACCGATTTATACTTTTAGTTGTCTTGGTTCATGCATTTGCTAGGATAAATAGTTGATATCCCCCCTTAACGAGTTAACGTGACTAAGTGAAGCTGAGAAACAACTTATGTTGCTCGAACTCTTCAAAAATGTCAATAATTTTGCGTCAGATCCTCCTACTGTTGTGCAGCTTTGGAGGATCCGACAAGGGTGAGGCAACATTTTTGAAGAGTTCGAGCATGAAACGTGTCGTTATATAATATTTCATTTTCATATGCATATATGTGAACCCAATGAAGAGAAACTAGTAACTGGTTTTTAGCATTCTACCAGTTAGTTAAGAACATATTTTCGTCTCAAATTCTCTGGTTTACTAGTTACACTAACTAGCTTGACATGTTATTGTACTTGGACTTGCTATGGCGCTTGGACTCTTCTAGAATGTCGATAGGCACGTGTTGGATCCTCCAGAAGTAATGCATTTCTTATTAGGATCCGAACAGATGCAACAACATTCTTGAAGAGTCCGAGCAACACAGCTGACTTATCTCTGGAAAAAAGTATTTTGTTGAATCTTTTGAGTTATTATTGCTTCTCTGTTCTTAGATCCAAAAAGCACTCGGCTGCAAAAACCATCCATTGGCTTTCGATATTACAGCTGCTTGTAGCGGGTTCTTATTGGGTTTGTTTTCTGCTTCTTGCTACATCAAAGGTAGAATCTTGTAAACTTTTCCTTAATTATGAAGTTTTTTGTGAACTGTATAATTTTTACTATGTATTAATAGTCGAATATTGTAGCTAATGATGCTCTTTACTGTCAAACCTCTCTATAGCAGCGTCCTTTGTTTGGATATTCTTTGGTTTGTTATAGCGAAATGCTGTTATAGAGAACATATAATATACTCGGTTCCAAAGAAAACTTAGTTGTTATAGTGAAATGTTGTTATAAAGAAGTCTAACTGCATTTTGTTCCTGGATCGATATGCTCTACTGATATTATATTTTCGTTCTTATTGCAGCTGGTGGTTTTAAGAATGTCCTTGTAGTTGGGGCTGATGCTGTTTCTCGTTTCGTTGATTGGACGGATAGAGGTTCTTGTATTCTCTTTGGTGATGCTGCTGGTGCTGTACTTGTGCAGGTACCGATAAAGGAGAGTTGAGAACTATTTCAAAGAAAAATTCCCTAAATTGATGAATGTTTTTACATAATTTAGGCCTGTGATATCGGGGAAGATGGTTTTTTTGGTTTCGACTTGCATAGTGATGGTGATGGTAAAAAGTACGTTACGTCTATTCATTACATTACTGTGTCCTCATCTTCGGATTGGCACTAACTATTGGTTTGATTTCCATTCTCAGACACTTGATTTCTACTTTCAAAGAGAATGAAACAGATGACGCGTCTAATCAAAATCGTTCCATGACTAGTTTTCCGCCCAAGTGTTCCTCTTATTCCTACCTCCAGATGAATGGCAAAGAGATTTTCAAGTTTGCTGTTCGCGTAGTACCACAATCAATCGAAGCAGCTTTAGAGAAAGCAGGTTTAGCTGGCTCTAATAGTTTCGATTGGTTGCTCCTTCATCAGGTATAATTTAACACCTCCTAACTTTGCTTTAAAAATCGAACTCCCTTTCAACTATGAGCAATAGTCCGACATTCATTACCATATTCTCTTGAAACAATGAGCCTAGATATATACCTACATTGTATGTGTTTTAGCCTAGATACATGTACTCAGTGTTACTTCTACTTTACGCGCAGGCAAACCAAAGGATTATAGATGGTGTAGCAACTCGGTTAGAGGTGCCATCAGAGCGCGTGATATCAAATGTGGCAAATTATGGGAATACTAGTGCTGCATCGATACCCTTAGCGTTGGATGAAGCTGTTCGAGGGGGGAAGGTGCAGCCAGGCCATGTCATTGCTGCTGCTGGATTTGGAGCTGGCCTTACATGGGCTTCTGCAATATTCAGATGGGGATGAATGCAGCTTTGATTGAGTAAAAGAAATTATCCGTATCGAGCGTTTATATCAAACTAATAAATATAAAATATGTATTTTATTTATACACATGTAACAGTTAACATTTACATTAGAAATTTTATTTTATATTCTGAAGAGCAAGCTGAAAAATGATGAATGTTGATCATATTAAGCTGGCTCAATTAAGGAAGAAATTATGTTCCTAGAGGTCCTCACATGCCTTTATTGTAATTTTAAGGACTTCCTTTGGGAATATCTTATGAAAATTGTTATTTTTCGATATTAGAAAAAAAAATCTAACTTTTGACTATAAACGTGTTATAATTATTATCAAGCCTCGAGTCTAGATCCTAGATGTGATAGGTGTTCGATATCTTTAACTTGTCTGAGTGAATCGTTAACATAGCATAAAATAGAGAAATGCGAAAATAAAAAGGAGGACTTTAATAAATAAAAATAAAAACAAAACATATTTATTTTATAAAGTAAAAGGCTTTTAATTAATAAAGAGACACCAAGGTCAAAAAGGAAATTTCATAAATTGCTTGAATGTTCTAGACTCGCCTATCTATGAAACTTCTAATATGAATAAATTGCATATCACGAGAAGGTTCATTTTATAATAATACATTGAATCAAGCAAACAGACTTAATATGCTCCAAGAATGGAAGGAGCTCACCTATAGCTAAAACATATTGCTCGATCATCCTAAGTAATGAATCAACATCATTTAAAATGTTACATTTTCGATAAAAGAAACACAAATACATAAGAAATTGTATTATATATAAAATGAGAAATTCGTTAAAAATATCCAAGAAAATTTAAAGATAAAAAAAATTGTGACTAAATTTTTCGACGTGACGCAACGAAATTAGATGGCAAAGGAGAGAAATGAAGAGAGCTATAAAGGTGATTTTAGTTTTAAGAAGTTAACATAAGCTTATAGACTACAATTTAAAAAAATTCCATAGAGTAACAATTAATCTGTTAAAAAATAGTATCAAATATGATTTCAAATGGTGGCCAAACGGGCCCTTAACGAAGCCCCAGTTATTTGCCTGAATTTTGATTAAATTATCATAATCCACAATACTTGTGCTTCCATTTCCGTCTCCGGCGAACTTCTCCGTCTCCGGCGAAATAAGACTTGTAAGTTCACTCTTTCTCTCTCCAGAGTATTTTCGAATTTACCTTTTGCGTGATAGACAGCTTGATGTTCAGCATCTGTCCTAACCCTAATCGTTTTTCGAATTTCTACCTATTATAGAGGAGGAATTGTAGATTACAGATTGTTTTGATTAAACTTTTCCCGATATAGTTCATTTATCTTTGAATTTAAGCTTAAACTCATCTCTTTTTCCATTGGAAGCACTAAATGATCCTAATTGTTTGCTAAACTGACACTCTTTCCGTCCCAAAATATGTATAACTCTTCATTTATCGAGAATGAATTTGACTGATCTTTAAAGCTAGAATGAAATAACTTATTTTAATATTTTAGGATTAAGATTTCTATATTTGAAACTGTATGAAAATTAGTTTGTTGCAATTTTTCTAATATCGATATGGTGCGAAAATACATCTTAAAATTTTGGTTGAAGTTCATGTTTGACTCTTGAGAAGTGAAAAGTGATCTGAGGGAGTACTTTTTATCATAGAGAGTACCATGATTCCATCACTCCTGTTGTATGTATAATCTTAATTTGCTTATATCATTTCCTAAAGTTCCAGCTAATTCTGTTTTCTGATAGCGTTTGTGGTTCTACGTTTCATTTCTTGGGGATTATCCGATGACTGGCCAATATTTGATTGCTTAAGTTGTGTTCAATTACAATATTTTTTTCTCCGTACTCATCAATTATGATGGGCAACTCTTGGGACGGTCTAGTGTTAATGTCTGATAGTAAAATTACTTGTTTTTCGCTGTTTTTTTTTTAGATTCTGTTAGTTCTAAAAACTTGCGGTCTGTCGTTTGACTCTCTAATGTTAGCTGTTGTGAGAATAGAAAGTATCTAATTCAAAATTTAATGCCTATCGTGTATCATAAAAATCTCATTTTTTTTTTCTATTCACGCTACACATCAAATGCATTTAGCACTTGCAGGGTAGGTAAGAAATGCTAATGGGGTGAGCTGTTGTTATTTTCTTTGGAAATGAAATCATGGTGCTCTCTCCATCAAAAACTAGAAAGACTGGAAGTGCACTAGTTTGACAAACAATGAGGACTATTAGGTCTCCAAGTCAAAATATGACTTTGAATTAAAGTACAAAGCTAAAGGGACTATTTTTTAATTTAATTTGATATTATTTGCATAGATGTTGATTGTCCTGTTTGAATTTCTCTCATCTAAGTGGAGATTTCATCTTTGAAATGGAAATTTGTATAGAAAAAAACAAAGCATGGCAGAGCAAATCCTCAGCTTGGGAGTCCTCATAGATGTTGTGGATGAAGAATGGATGCGAGATACCCTGCCTGCTGATGGTACTATCCTCATTCAATTATTATTATTATTACATACCAATCAATCAACTATGCTTCAATCCAAATTAGTTGCAATTGAACTGCGTCAGTTTTATCAAATGCTTACCCTCGGCGTGCTTAGGCTTTCAAGTTTGGTCCAAGATTGGATGATGTGTTGTCTCAATTGGGCAGCACTCCAGTTGCCGGTGAGATGTTAAGTATGTGCCTCACACATGGCCTCTATCTTGAAGAGAGCGTATAAACAATAAATTCACTTGATTAATTTTTTTTTCAATTTTTTTAATTCCTTTGTGCATATAATAATTTGTATTTATAGCTATTATTCTTAACTTGCATTTAATTTTTTAAAGATATTTCTTAGTCTGGGCTTTTCTTCATCAATTCTTGCTGAGAATAAGCTCCTTTTTTTCTTTTTTGGTTTTTTGCCTTCTATTGTGAATCATATTTTTGCTCTATTCAAGTCCAATCATTCCAATAGTAAATAATTTTATTTGGGGCAAATTAGGAACTCTCTAAAGGTAGAGGTTTCCTAAATCACACATTTTAGCTCAATTGAGATGGATAATAATTGTTCTTGTTTCTTATACTTCTTTGTCTCATTTTGTTCCATTTTCCATTTATATTGTGTAGCTTAACTACTTTGAAATTGAGGCGAAGTAGAATTTACTGTTGATGCTTTTAATTCATCTTTTTCTGCAGATCTCCCGTTACCACCCGTACTACTTCCTAAGACTGATGACAATGAAGATTCAAGTAAGTATTACTTGTATTCATAAGCTTGAGAGATAATGAATGTGGGAATCTTTTATCGCTTAATCTTGGCTTAGGTATAATGTGAGAACAAAAGATGACAACTTTAGACTTTAAAGTTATTTATCGACATGTTCCGGTAGAAGTTAGACAAGATTTCTTGTAAAGTGAGTAGCTGTTATATGGCTTCTAGCTCTTAGCCCCTTTTTCATTAGTGTTGCAGATCCTAGATAGATAGCTTCATTGTAAGACAAAATTACCTCAGTTTAGCAATTCATATGTTTATATTGCTTTTTGAAAAGAAAGCTGAAATTTGAAGTCATCTCCGAAACTTCTTTAGTAGGCTCTGCAAGCCTGCAATGACTTCCCCTAAAGCTTAATCAAACCTCTGTTCATCCATGATTGTTGTGTACCGAAGGACTTTTCTTACTCGTTGAAACCCTTGTAGCATACATCATTTCAACTAGTATCATTATGGCTTTTGCTTTTAAGCATTTGATGTAATTTTAATGAGAGGAACTTGATGCTATAGTTGGGTTATTTCTTAAATGGGTTTTGGCATAAACGGAGATCAAGAACACTTAAACATAGATGTAATTCAGATATTTTCTGGTCCGCGCACATTTTGTTAGAGTTCTGATATCAGGAATCGTACATTCGATGAGTTGAGAAGCAGATCAATTTGTTGGCTATTCTCGTGCTGACTACTTTCCGTTAGTTCTCAACTTCTCATCTTTGGATGATTGAATTGTATCCTTTTGCAGATCAAGAGGCTCCACAAGTTGATGGAGATACATGGCACGACCTTGCATTGGAAAATCACCGACATTAAACTGATCGAGCTTGTGGTTTGATTTGCAACCACTATCATCATATGTATTGTTGGTCATGTACTTGTACGAAAACTAAGTTCAACTGTTCTATCTCTTGATATATTATGTTGGTTAGTAGGTATGAGTGCATTGCGTGGTGTGTGGCATGTCGTGGAGTTTGAACCTTTCTACATACAAAAAAAACCCGCAATTTAAGTGGAGAAAGTTTAGAGGATCGAACCCATTATTCACCGAGTTTTAAACTCTGTGCAGCTATAGCTTGTATTTCTGCAAGGGTCTTGTTTGAAATATAATGAGACTTGCTATTATATGTCATCAACCAAGCTAGTTGGTCCAATTTTTGTCCCAAAAATGAGTTTTGTTGCAACAAACTATTTGTTATGTCCTAAACTAGAAGAGATATGATCAGTAAAAGGTATAGTAATTTAAATGTTAAAAACCTAAATTGAAAAGATCTTTGAAATAAGTTTAGGGATTTTGGTCAGTTCTATAAATTTTTTCTTGAAATTATCCATATAAAGTATTGTCACCATCACAATTATACTGTCATTTCTAGCTGTTGTTATAACCAACACCAATTACTTGAACTTTCAAATTTCTATCGATGTTTAGTACATAACTATCACCATCAACCCGCATTATTATAACTTTTATGCACTATTATCAAACGATTATCACTATCATCACCAAACTTTTATCACACGATTAACATCATCGACTATCTATAGCCACCCCCAACAACCACCACCTCAAAAACCACCACCAACACGATCGTACATCATTTATAGCTACCACAAGCCACTCACCAATAACAATTGCTAAACTCTATCTATTATTATCAGTTCACTACACAACGATCAATCTATCATCATCAATCAAACATCATTTGACATTAGTTCCACGAACCCACCCCTCTATCCCATCACCACATCCCATAGTAAATGATTAAACTATATGAGAATAATTTTAAAATAATATTTTCTTTTTATTTATTACTCATTAAACATGTGAAAATAAATAAAAATCTAAAATAATTTTATAAAATCAATAATATAAAAAGATTTTTTTTTCTTCACAAAAAAAAGAGTATATAATTAGCAAAATCAATTTAATCCTTTTTTTAAATATCATAACAAGAGTAGAATAAAACCTCGTGCACATTTTGTGTTGTAAAGCTTTAGCAGTGATCGTCTTTGTGAAATACAAATTGTTGCAAATGGCGAATCAGCAACAAGAATCGAGTCGGCCATGGATTCTCGAAGCATTACCTCTTCTAGTAGTCATACTAATCGCTGCTCATGTTCTCGCTTTGGTATTTGAAAAATTGTTTTCGTCTTCACTGTTGTGTATTTTTCTCGAACTAGTACGATTGAGTTGTTTTGTTGAATTTGTGTGTAGGTGTACTGGATTTACCGGGTAGCAACTGAGAAACAGCCTCAGAGAAGTAAAAAGCACTAGCAAATGTAGATAGATTGATTTCATTTTGCTTCAGCTTATAGGAAAATGCAAGGTACAAAACCCTAGTTATTCGAGAATTCGAGTTACTGTGAGTATAATTTCTTGTTGAATCTGTGTCATATCAGTTGGAATATTGTGCATCAGAAATTGCTTAGTGAACTGTGAATTTTGCTGTTAATATGTTAGGGAGATTGGTGCTTGTGTATTTTTTTTCCCTTTTCGTTTGATAATATGATTTTTTATTGTTGTGTGGGTTTTCGTTTTCTTTGAATTGGAGTGCTCATTTATTGCCTGATGTCCAACATGGTTGCAAATGTGAATGAATTTTTATGGCTCAGTCATGGGCGGAGTGAATTTCTCTTACTGTTGCTATTGAGCTTCTTTAAGGGACACATGATGTGTATGTTAGTATGGTAGTAACAATTCTTTACAGTCAAAATGGAATTGACTAAACATTGCTGAACTTTGTCAATGAGAGATCACTGTGATGTACATCTTCTTAGAGGTAAGGGTGAAAATCTTCTGCAATAGTGAAAGCTTTTTTCTCTTTTGGTGTGGCTTCATACTTGACTAGGAGATCACAAAACTGTATGAACTATGAAGAATGTTTTTGAACTTAATGGAAAGTGATTGCTTCATTGCTTAAATCTCTGGATGATGAAAGCATGAGCTTTTCCCCACCTTGTAATCCCCTTCCCATTACCCCTTGCCCCTACCCCCAATTGTTTTTTAAAAAGACAAGTGATGTGACTTAGAATGGCACAAAGCAGCTTTTGAGCTAGAATTACTTGCTTTATCTTTTTTTTTCTTTGGGAATTTGAGTTTAAAATGGAAATTGATGGTTATTTAGAGGTGATTGGTATTCTGGATATTCTTATACTTGATGGTGTTAAAGAACTGCAACGTTTGGTGTAAGAATCATGAATGTTATCACTGATATTGGTATAGCACCAAAAGGAAGGAGGAAGAATGAGGAGAACAATAGAGAGAGGGAGATAGGTGAAGTGAAAGAAGATATCAACTCATAACTATAGTATTTTATTAAATGAAGTATGTTCATCAAAGAAAAAGGAGGCTCCTGTTTACATGTAGGGAACCTTGCACAAGGTAGAATCCTCAAAAGTAGGAATTCTATCTCCAAATAAGAGATAAAAATAAAATCTAAGATAAGTTAAAGATAGATAACATTGGCTTTGCTTGTTTGTAGTGGTTAGGGAGTCCTCTCTGCACCACTGGCCAAGACTTTGAGGTTTATTGGAGAAGAAGAATGAGAAGATAAAGATAGATAGCACTTATCTGGTGTTATGTGCATGAGTTTTATGGTCTTCTGTTGAACTCAGTAGCTACTTTTCTTCTTTGTAATAAATTCTCAGAGGCTTTTCCTCTAATTATAAAAGAACCTTTTAGAGACTCTGCTACTCTTGTGGATTTTGGGTGAGTTTGGTAGGAACATAGCCCAAAATTTCTGAAGATCATTTTATGTCTCCCATAATGTTTAGGACATGGTAATTTCAAAAGGTCAGCTATTCTAATGGTGGTTTTGCTTATAAAGAAGTCATGAACTAGGATTTCTGGGATGTTTTTCTGAACTCCCAGTTAAAGAGAAAAAGCCTGAAAAGGTCCTTAACTTTTCTTATTGTTTTGGAGGTGGAGTTGGGGGTTGAATTTCTGTGATTTTTGTAGTGATGATTGCTAGAAAACATGACGTAAAGACTGCATCGTGTAAGAATATAAATTATCAGTATGTTATCAAAGCTTCTAAACATGAGAATGAAGAATGTAGATTGAAAGATATGTAACCTCCAACGTTCTCCATTCCAGCTTATGCCATCCTAGTTCTTTTTTTGACAGAATGACTCTTTTCTAAATTAGGAAACTATCGAACTTAAATTCCCATTTGTCCTTAATGAGAAGTTTTTACGGCCGTAAATATGTTATATTTCAAAAACCCTTCTAATCATAAAAATGTTATGGCTTGATTCAGACGACAAGTTTCAAAATTCTTCCTTTCTTTCTTAAACTCCTTGCCTAGTCAAACAGGTTCACATAAAGTGAGATGGAGTTAGTTATAAACTGAGGCTTACTGGAGAGAATCCTACATCAAATTCAGAATACTACTACTTCCATTTGTTGAACTATTTATATCCCACATTGGGTACATAAGGTCAACCAAAGAATTTTGTAACGGTGTTGAGATTCCATTTGTTGCCTTAATATTTGGGAATGGATGCTCAAATTCTTTCACATAATACATAGCCAATTCCACTCATAGATCCATTGTCTTAATATTTTGAGTTGAATGTTCATATTCTATCCCTTTTTGTCGACAGAAAATGAAGAAATAAAACGAACCCCTCTCTAATTGTTTAAGCCAAGCCTCAGTTTGATCCCTGTTGTTGCCCAGTGATAACAAAGTATTTACATGCGCTTGGCCAAATGAAAGAATTGGGCCCACATGTGAGTGGGGGTGTTGTAGACAAAGTAAATAAATATAAAAGCCTCCTATTTGACAATTTCAGCTTTTTAATAAGATGTTTACAAGATTCATCAACTCGCAGATGGAATAATCACATTTCTTTTTCATTCTGGATAATCCCTAAATAATCTAAATGCATAGTTTGTAGTGCTTCCCTTGATGAGGAAAGCAAAGTTAATAACAAATTATGCACTTATTTCTCTTCTTTATTGATAAAAATAATACATAAATAACCAGTCAAGTTTGTGACAACATGTTTATGTTTTATAGCATACTCTTTCTTTTAAAACTGATGAAGTTTTATAGCATACTCTTTTTTTAGAAAAACTGATGAAGTTTTATAGCATATTCTACTCTTATTTATCTTTGATATTAATAATAAATAACAAAGCAATGTAGGAAGTCCAAATTGAAATATAGAAGAAATGGGCAAAGTTTGTTGGTAGCATAGAAAGGAATGATGTATTTAGAAAGTAGGGGATGAAGCCTGAAGGTAGGGAGAAGGTTGGCTGACTATATTGAACATTGCAAAGTTTTGAAGTTTATGCAAAACGCGACTAAAGGTGATAGTTTATGTGCACCAATAGAAAGTACTGAAGGGCTTGAAATTTACAACTCTAGTTTACCCTATTGTGGTGGTCTCGGATTTTCCATCTTCACATACATTTTTTATTTTTTAATTGCAAATCAGTTTTTTCTGACCTGCTTTTGCATCTAAGCCATCCATATTTTGATGATAATTGATTATTTTCTGAATGGACATGTTTATGGTTTTTCAGATTAGTTCTATTCCTTTAAGGAGTTATATCTTGATTCCCGACTTAGATGCATTGATGTTATCTCATATTGTTCCCTATCTGTGAACTCCGAAGTCATTACATACATTGATGTTCTTTCATATTGTGTTCCCTATTATCTCCAAAGTTATCAGCTGACCACTTAGAAGGAACACATCTATTACCAATTCGTACATGTACTGCTTCATTGTTGTAGATTATCCATCTGAGTTTTCGATACACAGAATCAAAGCCCTAAGTAGCTCAGGCTTCTAGTGCTATATCAAACGCTACTCATCATTCATGCTGTCGTGCATTATACATATGTTTTTAGGCTTCTGATAACTATCTTTTTCTTTGTTAGGGATTCATTCTATACATGTCGGAGACAAGATTTACACTCGAGGCTTTGGTGATTAGCGAGAGCCCTCTTGCCTAAGCATACGTGAGTCTCTTTTTCTTCGTGAAAACTACGTTAATGGTAGCATTGTTGAGAAACTTCTTTCTTCTTCTCTATTAACATCAGTGTGAATTTCTACCCCAACTTTGTAATTCTTCTGTAGAATTTTTTGCATCTCCAAATCCTCATCTGCTTTACTGGTGTGTGTGTGTGCCATGAGTCTTTTACTAAAGCTTTTCATCCACTTGTAAATTTAGTGTAGCATGAAAATTGGAAGTTTGAGGATTATTAGTCATATAAGCATGTTTAAAGTTTGTAGACACAAGATTCTCTTCATCCAAAAATTGCTACATTCCATCACAAACTTCCATTTTTCATTTATATTAATCATCGATTCGTACAAGATGAACAATAACTTTGTCGATTTGTATAAGAACACCGATAACTTTAGGGGTATTTGAGAGTAAGTTATTCGATTATGTATATGAAATGTCGTATTGTTAGAAGCTACAAAATACAAAAACAAATATGGTAATATTGGAACAAATCCGTTTTATTAAAATTAAATTGACTACAGAGATATTAGGAACCAAAAGAATTTCCATGTCATTAAAATTACAAAAAAAATAATAATAAATAAACTCATTTGTCATCTTCGCCTTCGTTATTCTCAGCCTGGACTTTGCTGCTATTATGATTAGAAATTAATTTCTTATACGGCGTCGTTTCGACGAAAGTAGCAGAACTCATCTCCATTTGACATATCCTCACCGCCCCGAACAGCTTTTCCGGCAACTCCTCCGCCGTCTCCGCCTCCACCAAAAACCCCATATCAATCGACACCGACGTAACATAACCTAAAGCTAAATGCAAAATCGCAGTGGCAATCGCGGAGCTACCAATATCAACGTCGATTTCTAAGTAATTAGGTCCTTTATGGTAATAGCAATTCAAAGCTTTACCGAGTAAACAAGCGGAGTAATTTCCGACGGCGGTTTTCACAATCCACGGCCCTTTAATCATCCGGTTCACGATTTTGAACCGGCTGTTACGGTACGAGTCATCGCCGTGTACGAATCGGTAGAGTAGTGATCCCGGTTCGAGCGGGCGGTTTTGTTCAGTAGCGAAGTAGAAAACCGCACTGTGCTGATCTCTACCGGGGATTTGAAGGTTTACAGCGAGGACAAAAGTCTTAAGAAACTCACCTTGTGAATGAGATTTCTTCAGCGCGTTCATTACACGGTTGTCGTTCCGAGAGAGGACGTGATCGAGTTTTGAATTTGATCGGAGCCAATCAACTCCGGCGGGTTGTAGAAGCCATTCACCTGAAGGTATTTTCGTCTTTTTTGTGAAGTAATTCGTACCTCGGAGATTGAAATTATCTCCCGGAGGTGAAGCCCATCCATTTGTTCCCTTATTCAAATCAACGCACTTCAATGACCCGCCGGAGATTACTTCTTCCCTCCAATCTCTTCCACCGCCTTTCGAACGGTGTTGATTCAGTTTCTCCTTCTCCTTCTGCTTTGCCGAGCACATTTTTCGATGAAAATAGCTCGAATTTATCCGCCGGTGAAGAGATGGCGGAGCTTCTCCGGGCTCCGTAGCTATGGAGTTTATTGTATTGTAATGCTGGGCGTGGGGTGTTCATGTATATATATGAGAATTGGTCTAACACATTTACCCTTGAGTTTACAAGAAATTACAAAAGAGGGATCGACAGCTAATACCGTGACTAGGTGCTTCGTAGTTAGTTGGGAGTTAAATTATTCATGTATAAGTGATATTACGTTTAGTAGTATTTTTTTAATATTTTACCTATATTATAAAATTTGTGAGAATGATATTTGATTTATAATTTAAAAACAAACATAATAAGTTATATATGATAGTTTATAGGCCTAATGTATACATTGTTTTATGGAATAGAATAGGGTGGGGTATGAATGTTTATACATGAAATGAATTAAATTGAAGGCATAATTCTCTATTATATGAGTATATATAAGACGAAATCGAATAAATGAATCATAAAAATTTGTAGTTGAATTTAATATTTTATCGTAATGACATAATATTTTTATATTTCAAATATGATAATTTATAGGCCTAATTTATATATTGTTTTATGGAATAGAATAGGGGTATGAATGTTTATACATGAAATGAACTGAAGGCATAATTCTCTATTATATGAGTATATATAAGGCGAAATTGAATAAATGAATGATAAAAAATTGTAGTTGAATTTAAAATTTTATCTTAATGACATAATATTTTTATATTCAAATATTGAAATAATCAAATTGAAGTTTTCAATACCTTATCATGTCCATTACTACTAAGGTAGAAAAAATATTTAATACTCAACATGATTAGTTCAATAGATTAATTCATACATCAAATAATATTAAGATTATTTTTTAATAAAAGTAAAACACAAACAAGCTGGTGGAATCCAGTTGTAGAGAATCTCTTTTTGAATTGAACTGTCATTATCCAAAGAGATAGAATATATCCTCTTATAACTATTCTTTCTTCATTTGATTTCAACTATTTGCTTTTGGAATAATGTACAATAAGAAAAGAAAAACACAATTTGTAGTCGATATAGGCGATTGTTACTTTTGGAATAATGTACAATAAGAAAAGAAAAACTCAATATATAGTCGAATATGAGATGATTGAGTTGGTATAACAGATGATATTTCATAGTAACTGATAATTTACGTCTTTCTCCTATGTAATTTGTAAGAACGGATTTATCCCATGCATATTTGAAAGGTAGTTGTTGTAAATTTCTATTGAATATGATTGTTTTGTTATAATTCTAGGAATTGTTGTTTTAATTATTTACTCTTTTTTTTTTTAGAAATAATTTGCTGTTTCTTGGTTGTAATACGTTGGAAATTGAATTGACAGATCTATGTTGGTGCATTTTGGGGGTCCATTGTTGTTGATGTTTTGGCATTTTAATGTTACAAATTACTTTTCCAAAAAAAGAAGAAAAAAATTTAATGGTATATTTTCCAGGACAAAGTCTGTTATTTGTGTCGTTGAAAATCAAATAAGGAGATGTGGAAAATCCTCCAGCCATGTTTTTCTTTATGTTCTTCAACAATAGATAAATATGAAAGGTTAAAGGTGGTAGAAGGTCGAAACAGAATCTGATGAAAAGTGATTGGATAAGAGATGATACAATTTCATCTTATCGAAAACATGAATTTACATAAGGTTTGAAGGTCGAAAATCAAGATAAATAATCAAGTGTTGTCACATGGTTATTAGTAATCTTATGCTCTTATTTTTTAATATGTATATTACTACATGATGCTATCTTGCTATTTTATTGTCAATTATTTCGCAAATCATGCTTTGAAAATTTTTCTTTACGTTGCACTGAATAATGTTATTTGTTTGTAATATAAAAAATTTCAAATAATGCTTTGAAAATTTTTCTTTAGATTACACAAAAAATGTTATTTGTTTGTAATATAAAATTCCCACAAAAATATTTCCTTCAAGTTGCTAAATAACAACTCCACTTCAATCATTCTTCTTAGTTGCTCAAGGCGTACAAATGTTATCATCTTTATAACAAATAATGTAATAATATTACAATTACCACTAAACTTCTCTAAGTAACTTCAAATTCATTTTTGCGTAAAAGTAATATCATCTTTATTACATCAAAAAAAACTTTTAGAGTAAATGTTTGTTTTTGAACAAATAAAAGAAGAAGACATAAAAGAGGATACTTTCCTAAGGACATAATACATGGAAAACATCTCAACTTAAGAAACGTACTTCAAAATACCTTTAACTTTATTTAAGATGGCATCGTAAACACCCCAACTCAGGACAAACATCTCAACTTAAAAACTATACATCTAGATACTTCGACTTAATTTAAGTTGGCATCATAAACACCCCAACTAAGGGTAAACATCTCAACTTAAAGAATATACATCTAGATACATTAACTTGATTTAAGTTGGCATCGTAAACAACCCCAACTCAGAATAAACATCTCAACTTAAAAATGTACATCTAGATACCTTGATTTAAGTTGGCATCGGAAACACCCCAACTTGGAATAAACATCTCAACCAAAAAAATGTGCATCTGGATACCTTAACATGATTTAAGTTGGCATCGTAAACACCCCCAACTCAGAATAAACATCTCAACTTAAAGATGTACATCTAGATACCTTAACTTGATTTAAGTTGGCATCGTAAACACCCCAGCTTTAAGTTGGGACGTTCAATTGTCAGTAGAAGCCAAAGCCAAACTAAAATGTCTATCTATAATTCATTATGAATGATGGCTTTCTTAAAATTTTATTAAGAAATACTTGGGAGACAAAAAAAAAGGATTAAAGAAACAGGAAATTGCTTCTTCATTTAGGAATGAACCTGCTCAGAATGCAATTTAACTTTCCATTGGAGTAATAATTTGCTCATTACAAGTAACTCACAAAGAATTAATACTACACAATTCATCTACTAACTCAAGACAGATTACTATACAAGTCCATACACCTAATAGATGCTTCAATAATTCCATAGCTGTAGGCAAAACTGTATGAACTCATAATGTGTTGTGTACAAGATTTAAATTACCTGGAGTTCAAGTGCTTGATTTTGAGTTTGAGTTTGATGAAAGGTTAGAAAAGTTTGGCAATGCATCCATACTGTCGCTTGAACTTAGGGTAGAAACATCAGCAACGAACTCATCGAGTGTCTACAGAAAAATGTGAAGAAACAAAAGTTTCAGCTTAGCAATTTTATTTGTGCTTTAGCGAGAAGAACAAAAAGAGGAGGATTCCATGGCAGAATGCTTGAATGTGATGCCTATATCATGTGTAAATAATTTGGTTTCGAAATGTAAATAAGATACGCAGAAATGTGGCCTCAAAATATTTACATTTATATACAATAAGACGCATTTCGAAGGCCTGGAGTAAAATTTGATTTTCTTGCTATCATATATGCACAAGCCACATCAAAATAATCTTAACCTACACCGACTGTTTGTATATCTTTTCTGAAGTTAAACAAGTCACCGTTGCAATTTCTGTGGCCCTAAACAAGAGTAGAACTGATTACTTGTTAACACAGCAACCAAGTTTAACTAACCTCGACAGCTTGTCGCAGAGCATTGCACATCTCTGCAGTCGTCCTCCTTTGAATGACAACATCATCATGCTCTCGCAACAAATCTTCATATAGGTTCTCGCTGTGGGCGACTCAAGGAGAAACAGTCAATGATCAAAAATTGTTTAGAACTTCAAGTGTGTAGTAAACAAGGTAATTTTACATGATCAACAAGCCGTGCTAGGTTT